AGTGGTCTTCAATCTTCTTCCGAACTCCATCCAGGAGCCTCTCAAATGGTCGGTGAAGTTTTCTTATTCATTTCCAGCACCCCAACTGTTCAGTGCACATCTGGAAGCTGTAAAGCAGTTGATTTCATCCACTCCTGTCCCCCGTCTCTTTCCATGTGAGAAAACAGACCCGAGTCCGTAGGTTCTTGTTCTGTGCTAGAGGTTTGCTCAGCAGGGAACCGAAGACAGAGCCAGCTGAGTGTGCTACAGGTTTGGTGTTTAGACTAAAGAAGAGGTGTGAAATCTTTTCATTTTTTCTTTCTTTGAGAAAAGCTTGGCAACTTGGACTGTTTGAAGGAGCAGTTACATAAAATACCTCCTGCTCTTGAGGGTCTGGCACAGATCACCACCTCATTTTCTTTAGATGCCCTTAAAACATTCTGCCACCATGTAGCGCTCTTTCATGGAGAATTTAGACTGAGAACGTTTTCAACCTGGATAAATAAAACAACTGTACAAATGTAACCTGATTTTTGGATTGAGAATTCTTACTCCCTTAGGTAAGTTACAAAGACTTATAATCGCTATCTCTCCCTTGAAGCTAGAATATTTGAGAATGTTCCTGGCATGACTCTTTGCACTACTGGGCCTGTGCACCGTGAGCATGAGAAGTGATCTTGGGCCTCCGCCCTTGGGGATTTGCTCTGTTGGCCACAGAGTGGTGATTCTCGTGGCAAGTGGTTCCAAAGCACAGATTCCAAGCTGCTTGGGGTTTCCTAGTGCCAGCTGTGTGTGTCAGATACTGAGTCTTGGGGTGAGTGTTTAAGCAGCAGTTTCAACCATCTTTAGTCAGGGGGTTTCCAGTTCTGTGTGGTAGGAGAAAGTGAATTTTAACTGGGTTCTAAAGTAACAGACTGAAAGATATAAAACTCGCCAAATTGTTCACATACCAAGGATTACAATTTCTAAATATTAGGAATTATTCTGCAAGATAGCCACACTGATACTGGAACTACACTGATACTGTTGGTGTGTTTTTTCCCCACCTACAGGCAGGCCTGTACCTTAGGATGCACAGTTTGTTTATTTACATAAGTGATGCCTTGTAAACCTCAGGCACCCTTTCTCCCTACCCCCCCCCCCCAGGTTGTTTCCATCAGCCTCCTTGAGACTTGATTGATGGTCACCTGGTGCCTGTCCTGTGTTAGATGAATGGCACTTTCCCTGCCCTGGGGGAGGAGACACTTTAATGGGGGTCAGCAATAAACCGATGTTATGATGTGAGAAGCGCTGAGACAGAGGTGAGGAAACTTGGATATGGAGAATGTTTGACACATACAAGAGTACAGAGTCTGCGAGTGAACCCTCGTGAACTTACCTCCTGGTGTCAGCAATTCTCAGCTCTTGATCGAACTTGTTCACCCAGATTCCCCACTTCCCCTCTTCCCTTTCATTTGGAAGCAAGTCCGAGCCCATGTAGCATTTATAGACATTTGAATAAACTCACCTAGGGATATTTCAGGGCAATAGACTACACATGGGGACTGGGGTGGGCCCTGTGGAGACTCACTTGTGCCCAGTCTAGAGGGGAAAGGAGGCTGTTCCCAGCTCCAGGGGGGTGGGGTGAAACCAATGGTTACTGAATATTGCTAAGAATTAAATTAGGTTCATTTTGTACATTATTTCCCCCTCAACGATAGTCCTTTGAGAGACTATATATCCCTACTGTACATATGAAGAAGCTAGGTTTCAGGAAACTTGTTCAGTGATCAAACTAATAGTTTCTTCCCGGTAAAACCCACCTTGACTGCTGGATGCTTCGTCTCCTTCACACGTACACTAGTGTGGCGAGGCAAGGGCAGGATGTGGCAAGCTCAGTTCTGACTGAGCACCCAGAACTGTGCACGTATGTGTCTGGGGATGAAGCTAGAGGCTGCTCAGAGCTGTGTAGTAAACGGACCTCAATGCCATATACCAGGGACACAGGATTTTAACTTGAGGAGGGGTGGGGATCCAGGTTGAGATGTGCTTACCCTGAGAACTGTATTGTCAGCTTTTAAGAGGAAAACTATGCAGGCATGATGGAGGGTTAGTTGGAGCTGGAAGATGAGGTGACACCGGCTCAGGAAAATTGTCTTTCCATATAGTTTACCAGTTTGTATTCTTTGGTTATTTATATTCCACAAATGAAAGAGACCATCCAGTAACTTGTTTATTTTGTGACTTATTTGATGTAGCATCATCACCTCAAGGTCCATCCATTGGTCCTTCAGGGGATGATTTTTACCTTTTTGATAACCAAGTAGTATTCCACTGACTATACATACACCACAGTTCCTTTATCCAGTCAGCTGCCATTATACGACATCTTATTGCTTCTCCATTCAAAAATGAATTTGAGAGGGTTGAGACTTTTGGAATGGCAGTGTGAGAGGCTCAGCATACTCCCTCCCCAACAAAACAGCCTCTTAACTGGTAAAATTTAAAAGCATAATTTCAAACTCTTGGAAATTGACCCAAGGAGGTATAGAAAACACACATTTATTGGAGAAAAGTATACTAAATCTTGGGTGAGGACAGTGAGTCTTGGACATTTGCGCTGTGGCCTGCTCTCCTTCCCGCCCCCAGCAGGCACCCAGCATGGAAGCTCGTTCCTAGTGGGTATAGCCAGAGGATAGAATCTCCCTCCCCCCCCAACCCAACTCCTAATCTAGGGCTGGGAGAGGGAAACCATGGGCTACTGCAGACACCCGAAGTACCCGAGAAAGAAAAGGGGGGCAGAAAAGTCACTTGAAGAGATGATGACTGAGTATGATCCCAGTTTGATGAAAAACATCCAAGAAGCCAGCCATGTCCTCCCCTCCTCCTGTGATTGCAGGCTGGGGATGCCACTGAAAATATCCCAGTTGGGGTGGGGGTTAGGGGGTAAGATGAGCTAAAATATCATAGAACTTGCTGTTCTTCCTGAGATTCAGCTGGTTTTGTCGAATAAATGTTCTCCAGGTTGCTGCAAGCTTTGAGTTAATTTCCAGGCTTCTTATTTAACCCCCCTTTTAAAAATATTTATTTATTCATACAGAACTGGGGCACAGACCAGAGGTGCAGGGGTGGTTAGAGGCTTCACCAGAGACAGAGTGGGAAGCAGAACAGGCAGGTCGATGAGGTACACTGCTGAGAGGAACAGGGGGTGAGACAGGAGAGGTCTGCCACACCATGTGAGTCACCTCCGGGTCCGGGGATTGAACTCACCTGAAGTGGCTGCAGCCTAACCTGTTGTGCCACCAGGGATGCCCCCCCCCCTTTAAATGCTCTGATGGAAGAATTTTTGGAGGCTCTTATTCCACTTTTTTTTTCTCTGACATCCCAGTGGAATTTTCATAGCAGTTTTCTTAGGACTAGTTAAATGGTTCTTTATAGATTGTTCTGAAATTGCATCTGATACCCCACTATTTGGAAGTCTAAAAGTCTATCCATAAAGCCCAGCTTAAAGACAAAACCCATAGTGTTTTTTTTTATATATATAATAGTTTATTTTTACATCATTTTGTACATTATTTTTTTCATCTCAATTGTAATCCCCGTGGGTTTCCCATCACCGAGTCACCTGTGTGCCATCACCATAGTCCCATGCACTTCCCTCCCCACCCCCCCATTTTTGATCCCATTCCCCACTCTACCCCCACAAAATGTCTCTGGTATATGGCTGTTCATTCTTACTATTTTCTCTCCTGGTCCATTATACTCCTGCTATGAGCGAAAGCATCCAGTATTTTTCTTTCTCTTTCTGGCTTATCTCACTAAGCATGATCTTTTCAGCTCCATCCAAGTTGCTGCAAAAGACATGTGTTTCTCTTTTTTGGTTGCTGAGTAATATCCCATTGTATATATGTACCACATCTTTTAAATTAATCCAGTCATTTACTCTTGGGCATTTGGGCTGCTTCCATGTTTTTCCAATTGTAAATAAAGCAGCAATAAACATGGGGGTGCAAGTATCTTTTTGAATCAGTGTTTTTGTGTCTTTTGGGTAGATACTATGAGTGGGATTGCTGGGTCGTAGGGAAGCTCCATGTTAAGCAGTTTGAGGAACCTCCAAACAGTTTTTTTTCACCCATGGTGTGTTTTTATAGCAGAGCATCATGCATTTGTTGAGAGGATGAGAAAATTTTAATTGTGCTGGTGGAGTAAATATTTAAGGGCTAATGCTAAGTGAGAAGCAAAGCAAAATAATATACAGCTTTATTTTTGTGAAGTGTTGTGTAAACAGGAAAACCAGGTGTGTGCTATATGTAAGCATAGGACATCCCTAGAAGGATAAACTTTCCCTTTGGGGCAAAGGAACTGGGGGGAGTACTTTTTAGTTCTTTAACCTCCACTTAAGATTATTTTAATTTTCCAGTATCTGTTACTTTGAAGTAACTTTCAAAAAGTCGGTGAACATTTAACTGCCGATAGGATATAGATTACTTTACGGTCTGCAAATGAAAGATTGCAATATCTTGAAAATATTGTGTGTGTATAGTACTGTTTTGTTTCTCTGAACTGAGCCCTTGGAATGTAATTCTAATGCTTAGGAAATCATTTTGCCTGACAACCTGAAAAATAATTCACTTTTAATTTTGAGCAGCTAGGATAATGCACAAGTCTTGGTAATGAGTAATCTGTTCTCTTTTCACCCCAGTGACTTTCTGGACTTTGTATATTATAACCCAACCCTTGAAAAAGTCATTCTCTGTTGTAAGAAGAAACACTGCCATCTTTGCTGCCTTTATTTTTATCTTCAAAGGAGGAGGAGTGGTCACTCTGTACTGAAGCTTCATGAGCCGGTAGTATTTCACTAGCCGAATTGAAAACCTCCCTGTGAACTGGAGGAGCAAGCCAGCCCTTGTATATACACTTGGCTATCCAGGAACTCTTTGGTTAGCTAACCTGTGAGATCCTTGAGGTGTTATAATATATCTTGTCACAGTTTCCTGTTATGAAATGGAGTTTTCAGTATCGTTTTTCTCGTTTGTTTTCAGATCACAGAACTGTGTGGCGCGAAGCGGGTTGGGTATTTTGGTCCAACACAGTTTTACGTTGCCTTGAAATTAATTGCTGCAGCACAGTCTGGCCTCCCTGTGCGGTTAGAGAGTATTAAATGTGGTAAGTAGCTCACATTTGTACATTTTATTGTCCATGACAGGTTTCTGGCTTATGAGGACCAGTAGGTATATGGCCTGTTCTATAAGCTTTTGTGGACTTTCTCCTTGCTTCTTTCTACTTTTCTGTAAAATAAGAAAATTTAACAGGCAGTTTAGTTTTTTTTTTTTTTTTTTGTGTGTGTGTGTGTGTGTGTGTGTGTTTAAATTTACCAAATGGAAAAGAAATTCAGTGACCTGCAATTAGCTGCTTTTAACTGAAGTGCGGTTAAATTAGGCTTTGTTTTTTAGTGAGGAGAGGCTGGGACAGGATTTCTACAGCTTGTGGCTAATTCACTTATGGTTCTGTTAGGGACAGGGGATGGGTGACTGGGGGAGTTTAACGGAACTGCCCCTTTTCCTGCCCTCAGTCCCTGCCAGTCATATCAGATGTGACCATCCTGTTTTACCAGTCTTCCAGGCTGTTCAGATGACTATCAGTTACTTTGGAGCGACCCGTATTTTGGCAACATGAAGTTACCTTCTCAAAGTTTTTTTTTTTTTGATTATAATAGTTTATTTTTACATCATTTTGTGCCTTTTTCCATCTCTGTTGTAATCTCCGTGGACTTCCCATCACCAAATCCTCCGTGGGCCATCACCGTAGTCTTGTGCAACCCCCCAACTTTTGATCCCATTCCCCACTCCACCCCCATAAAATGTCTCTGGTATACAGTTGTTCATTATTATCATTTTCCCCCCCTGGTCCTTTATGCTCTTGCTATGAGTGAAACCATCCAGTATTTTTCTTTTTCTTTCTGGCTTATCTCACTAGGCATGATCCCTTCCAGCTCCATCCATGCTGCTGCAAAAGGCATGTGTTTATCTTTTTTGATTGTTGTATCTTCTCAAAGTTTTGATCAAACATTTTCTTACCTCATCATCCCTACCGCCTTCTACTGTACTCTCGAGGAGCATTTTGCACAATGTGCTTTTGCAAAAAGCTCAAAACTGCCTCAATACGGCCTTTACAGCTCTGTCAAAGGTGTGATTCAGGGGCCAGCTGAGGGCCTCTGCTAATTCAGATCCAAATTACTTTCCTGTGTCCACACAGCAATGCCCCGATTTCTTCTCTTTGTTTTGAGATGGAAATCACTGAATTGCCTCCATCTGTCCGGTGCTGTCTCTGGTAGATGGTGGGGTGGAGAGGGCTCTGAGATTGATGGTTAGTCTCTGGTGGCCCGTGTCACTCCATATAGCTGGGAGGATTCTGAGAGCTTGATCCCAGGGAAACAAAGCCCTTCCACAGTACCCATCAGAGGCTGCCATGTCCTGCTAATCTTCATTAAAACTTAGTGTGTGCCAGGTGCTGTCTCCCTTAGTCCTCACCACATCCTGCTCAGTTGGGCACTTGTGTCAGTTGCCCAGGGTGGGCTGCGATGGCAGACATAACTGAAATTTCAGCGCCTTCACTAAACAGAGGTTGGCCTTCTGCTCTGCAGTGGTGCAGGTGGCCCCTGAGGGCAGCTCCCTCAGTACAGTGCTGGCGCCCCTGTGATCTTGGCTGCTTCATCTTGAGACACCTTCAACACGGCACCTGCTCCCACAGGTGCCACAGCTGTAGTTTCTCACTCCAGCAGATAAATGCTCGAGCCTGGTGTGCTTCAGGTTGCTGTGGCTCACAGTGCGTTTCTGAAACGTGGGCCTATTGGACGGCAGTGTTGACCAGGGACACGGTGTTCCCTTGTGTGCCTGCACGGAGGGGAGGCGGCCAAATCTCTACTCTGGGCTGCTGTTGCCCTATCTTACAGATGTGGAAATTAAAGTGTAGGGGATTGAGTAATTTGCCTAAGGACCACGGTTAATAGAATTTGGAGCCAGGAGCATGGCCTTCAGTTCCCATACGCTTCATTGCTGTGCACAGGGTCCTCTTCTCCATTGTTCCTTATGTTGACTAAGGTGCTGACTGATCTGGAATTACAGAAGAGTTTCTGAATGGAAAACAATCTTACCCGAAGGCCTCCCTTGGTATTATATAGTTATTTTTCGGAGCTGATTTCTGGAAGGCGTGTTGTTTCAGTGGCAGGCTTGGCGTTTATCTCTACATGAGATGGCTGCCTCTGCTGTAAGTCACTTGCTTTGATTAGTTTCCAGTCACTTCACGTTGGATGTGTGGTTGACAATGATAGTTTCAATTCCATCAAAATAGTCATTAAACGTTATAATATCTTCCATCTTCATCTCCTGGAAAACTTATAGATTTGTGGTCAGATCTTAATTTTTCAGGGGAAGAAGAGGGAATGATTGTCTCAATTATCACTTGAGTAAAGGATTAACACTTTTTCACAAATATAAGACTTCTTCAGTTGTATTTTGTAAACACTGATGCTGCTTTTTACCTCAGATTTTATTATGCTCACAGTTAATTTTTTATTTTCTTCCTTCATTTAAAGATTTAAGTAAAAGTTATTTGCAGTTAACTTATGGTGAGTGAGCATGAGGACAAGATTGGGCTAGACCTTGAGCTGCCATTTAGAATTCTCCAATTTGTTGCTTGAAATTCTCTGGCTTAGTGTTTTATGACATAAATCTTGATGGCCAAAGAGTAAGTTCTCTGGGAATCTAGTCTGAAATACTGGGTTAGCTCCAGTTACACCCAGGGAGTTGTGATTCCACCCTTATTTGTGTAAGGGTCACACCCCTACCTCACGATGACATGTACTCGCGTGCCTGTGTGCTGCTGACCTTCAGCCCTTTCAGCAATTGCTGCCATCGATGGTTGGTTGCTCAAGCCAGGAGCCTAGAAGTCGTCCTCGATCAGCCTGAACATCAGGATTTTCACTCACTCTCTGATACAGGCCATCAGAAGTTCTGGCTTTGTGGCTTCCGCCTTAACTGCTGACTCCATCCATCTCTGCCTCTGCCAGCCAGGCCTGCCAGCCACTCTCCAGGGCCGCACAGTGCTTCTGTCTTGGTGCCCTGGCTGCCTTTCTTCTGTACTGCAGTCTGGCTTCCCGCACAGTAGAGCCACCTTTTCAGAGTAAGCTTCAGGCCATCTCATCCTCAAAGCCCTGCACTGGTTTGCTTGTTGTGCTTAGTACCGAATTCAGAGCCCCGGCACTGACCTGCGTCTTCTGATCCCTGCCGACGGCTCTGTTCTTGTTTCAAGCCTGTCCGCCAGCTTTCCTGGCCACCTAGCCATTTCTGGACCTTTCCTTCCTGCTGCAGAGACACGTCCCTGTTATCTCCAGGCCTTTGTTTCTGAGTGGTCTGCTCTGCTCCCTCTCCTCTCCATAGCTTGCTCCTCATTCTTCAGGTTCCAGAGACTGTCCCTACCATCCCATCCGATGTAGGTTCTGTTCTGTCAAGTGTAGTCATTCATGAGGGAATCAGGTTCAAGAAAGAAGAGTTAGAAGTATTAATGGACATGGAAAGACAGTGCTGGAATAAGATTGCTAAATTACATACAGAGTCACTCATGTTGTGTAGGACAATAAAGCTGTAACATGGTCATTGTACTATTTCCTAAGATGAAATTCATTTGCGAGCTACCAGTTTTCTATGTTACAACCTGTCCTTTCAGAATTATAAAATCCCTAATCAGGAATAAATATTGCATCAAAACAAAACTTCAGGTGCTTAGGGAGCATCTGCTCCCTCACAGCACTGTAAGCGTTTGTAAATATGCCCTTACAGGTTTGACCAATCTGGGGGCCTACCTTCCACTGTAGTGTGTAAGCCTGCCCGAGGGCTTTGAGCTGCCATTTAGAACCTGGTAGCCCTGCACTGAGGGCACTGTGGGCACTCCAGGCATGCTTGTGGGGTGAGCGCATGCATGCAGAGATGGTGCTCATCATGGAGATGAGTCTTAATCAGCTGTTGCTCTGTCAGCTCGACAGCTGGAATCCAGATTCAGTCTGAAGCTCCTGACAACTTTCACAGTGGTCCTTTTCCTCAAGCTCTGGTTCCCAGCCTCTTCTGCAGTTGACAGTCATCTAGAGAACTTTAAATGCAAAATAACAAATACAGGTGGGTGGCTCACTGCCAAAAATGCTCATTTAATTAGTCAGGGGTGCAGTCTGAATGTCAGGATTTTTAAGAGCTCCCCGGGTGATTCTTACAGGAGCTAGGCTAGAGAGTAATGACTTCCTAAGAAAGCTGAGTGGAGTATTTTTAAGAGCTTTGCTTAAACGAGGTGCATATTTGGTTACACCGGGGCCTGATCTAGGGTGAGTTAGGAGGCCACCAGGGCACATAATTTAAAGGGGCCTCTCCCAGTGTCCCTGTGCATTTACACAGCCCGAGAGCATCTCCTCAACTGTTGGTGCAAAGCAACCTCTGGCCTCAGCCTCGTCACCCTAGAGTGGGGTGAAATAGATGGGAAGACCCTGACTTGGGGGGGGCGGGAGAATGGGGGTGCCCATTGAGGACTGGAAGAGCGTTCCTGGTGAGGAGCCCTGTGGTGAACACATGCCCTGGGAGCTCTCTTCTTGTGGGAGCGACCGAGACGGGTGTGAGGCCTCGGGGAAGGAAGGCACAGGACTACAGCAGGGTTCTCAACCATGTTTGGCCAGGAAACCCAGTCTGAGGCCTGTGGATGCCTTCTTGGAAGTATGCTTTGTATGCATACATAGGATGATAAAGGAGTAGCTCAAATTATGTGGAGGCTAAATTGAAAATGATAATAAAAGGATTTTTACATAGCACACACATTCTTGCTTATCTGTTAGCTAAAAAAAATCTGACAGACCGAACAAAGACTTTATTTCAAAGTAGTGCTGAGCATGGCCAATACCACGAGATGTGAGGACACCTGCCTCTGGGTGCAGACTCATGGGCACCACTCATGTTCCCACAGCCATCTGTGGCCTCTCTCCTGACGGAGGCTGTGTTGCCTTTCTTGTTGGCGGGGGAGAATAACAACTAGCTCGTGTTCTCTTATCCAGGTGGATGACTTGCTTGACCCTTCTTTCCATAGCTTCTTTGGGAGTCTCTGAACTCCAGGTACAGTAATGTCATTCATTA